GAATAAATACATTGAGTCAATTGCTTCGTCCACCGCAAGGAAAGTTGGCTCCCTGTGCCGCGCCAGGAAATTTTTTTTCCCCGGAATCGATCCTCCAAATCTACAAATCAACAATTCGCCCTTGCATGGAGTATTGCTGCCATATATGGTCTGGAGCCCTTCTGTTTGCCTCAGGGTTCTTGATAGGCTCCAGAGGCGGATATGCAATATAATTGGCCCTGATCTGGCATCTCGTCTACAGTCACTTTCTCACAGACGCGCGTCGCCTCTCTGTCTGTTTTACAAATACTTTCATGGCAATTGCTCCGAGGAGCTGCATTCGCTGGTTCCCAGACTTCATGAGTTCAAGCGCCCGACGAGACTGGCATTCCGCTCTCACCCCTTCACTGTCGAAACTCCTAAATGTAGCCGTCTCTTCTACTCCAATAGCTTCATGTCTCGCACCTCTCACCTGTGGAATTCCCTTCCCTATCCCAGTTTCCCTGAGAGCTATAATCTCCAGCTATTCAAATGTAATGTCAATCGACATCTCCAGTTGCCTTGATCTATCCACTACCCTTCTCCTCATCCTTTCTTCTATCACTCCTATCTGATCTTGTTCTAAATTTTCTGTAACCCCTTGCTTCCCGCCTTGCTTGGAATGAAACGCTTTAAAAAAAAAAAAAAAAAATTGATGAAATCTAAGTGAACACATTTGGGGGGGGGGTCCCCTAATAATTTTTAGAAATTAACACATTTTTAACAATTATTTCATATTTTATTGACTTTAGTAATGTTTGAAGATACTTTATGAAAAAAATGATAAAATTTGAAATGGAATAAAATTTTCTTAGATTAATTTTAAAATTTAATAACCGAGAGGAAATACCATGATAGAGGTAACTCAAAAATTTATCACCTACACTAAACTAAATACATAAAATAAAAATATTTCGTAAAATAGAAATTACAAAAAGTAAAACTTACTTTAAATTTTAAAGTTTTAAAACTGAAGGGATGGCGTTCAAAACCGGTTGAAACGTAAGCAATTAATAACGAATTGGAGACAAGCGAATTTCTCTGTAAAAAGAGGACAACTCTGAGATCACATGACATTTCATAATAATGTTACGTATAGACTGCCATAGATGAAAAAAGGGAATGCTTAAAATAAAAAATTTAAAAAAATTATTATTTTAAAAATATTGAATATATATTTTGTATTAAGCTTTTCAATTTTTTTATTCGTAAATATAGTTTCTGCTTAATTACAATATCACCTAAAAGAAATACGGTGTGCGAGATTTTTAAACGATTTTTAAATTATGATAAATTATTATAATTAAAATTTTAAGAAATGAAATACTTCTTGTAAAAATTAATTATTCATCGAATGTTTTTTCTTAAGACAATAATGTCCTAAATATAACTCATTTACAAAAGCGATTAAATTGAATAATGCCTTATTTTTATTGCATTTTTTAGTTTACCATTCGGAACAGATTTTCAGAAAACGAGCAAAAGTTTGAAAAAAAATTGGATGATTTACATTCTCCTAGGAATCCTTCTTTTAACTAATAATACGATTTAAATTTTCCGAAATTTCATGAAATTAAGTAAGTGGGGTGTAACATATGTAAAAAAAAAATATTTTTACCAAGATTTTCTAAAACAAAAAATTTAAATGATAATTTCATTAATTTGTGAATAAGTTCTGAAACTTAATTAAAATCGACAATTATTTCCAATTCAAAGTGTTTTTCACCAAAAAAAAAAAAAGCGCAAAAACACTTCATTATAAAAATTACTTATGTCGCAGATGCAAAAAAAAAAAAAAAAAAAAAAACAGAATTTTTAACAAAAATTTCGAACGTGTCAGGAAGGTTTTAATTTTTTTAAATAATTTAAAAAAATACTTTGGTCTTTCCTCTTAATAATAACATATAAACATTTTGACGATAAAACTTTGTTTTTATTAAGTTTTGGGCCTTTTTTCATCATGCTGTTTTTTTTAGTGAAAAGCGGACGTGCCTAATTTTATTTGTTGGCAAGTTGACAGTTATAACGACAGACGGAAGTTTATCTAATGTTTTTCTAAGATGGACATATCTGTAAAATTCACTAGAAGAATACAACGTGGGCGGCTTTTTTTATATAATTTTTAACTATCCAATAATTCTAAAAAAAAAAAAAAAAGGGAAATATTCTCCGTAATCTAATGTTTTATTGAATTTTAGATACTTTGACTTTAAGTTTACTATAGTTATCGCTCTTATTTTCTGATAATATCGTGTATGATAGTCCATATCCACAATAATGTCCATAATATATCTTATTCAAAAAGCAATTAAAAGCATTTCTAATTAAATAATGTCTTCGTTTTATGACACTTTTTTATTTTACGATTCAAAACAGATTTTCTGTAACTGGGGGTGCTGTTTTATAAAAAGAAATTGATGATTTAAATTCTACAAAGAGTTCTACTTTTAACTAATAAACTTAAATTTAAACTCTACAAAATTTAATTTTTCGAAATTTCATGAATTAAATAAGGGGCGTGTAACATGATGTAAAAAACATTTTTACCAAGAGTTTCTAAAAAAAAAAAACATTTCTAAAATAATTTCATTCATCTAGGAGTAAGTCTTGAAAGTTTAATTAAAATGCGATAATTATTTTATTTTTGCAAGAATTTCTAAATCAATGTGTTTTTTCACCGTAAAAAATAAAAAATCGCTAAAATTTCCTATACTAATTTTTGGCTACTGCGCTGACGCAAAAGGCAAAACACAAAAACAGGATTTTTAACCAAAATTTCCAACGTTCTAAAGAGGATAAAAAATATAATTTAATAATCAAAAATCATTTGTTCTTTCCGCTTAGTAATAACATAAAGATTTTAACGGTAAAACTTTGTTTTTATTAAGTTTGGGACATTTTTTCATCATCGTAGACTCACCTTTTAGCGAATCAACGTGGAAACTTATTTATATATAGTAGTAATATATATTATTAGTAATATATTAATTAATAATGTATTACTAATAAAGTGGCATTTATAATATAACCAATAGCATTTAACTTGCATAACACTTTTTAAAGGCATATTTTAATAAATATTTCATCTGTGTTATTTATTTTCAATTCAAATTTTGAAAATTGCCATATGAAACAGTGTTTCTGTTTTTTAATCCATTGTATTTGTATAGAAAGAATGTATAAATAAATTGTCAACAGTCAGTCGTAAGTTAGAACACATACAGCGTTCGTTAATAAAAATAGTTGTCATCTGACATTTCACATTACTAAAAAATTAGTCGAACTGAAATAATTTTTATGGAATTATCTAGATAAATCTAAATAATCTGTTTAATTAGATTTTCTTAAAATTGAACCGAATTATTTAATCAAGCGGAAAGTAGTAAATTTGCTGAATGAATTATAACGAATTAATTATTAACATTAAAAAATATTCAGATATTTCTCCAATGGTCAGCTCTATGTACTTATGTCTCGAATAAGGAAATCCCAATGGACTTGAATTTCTTTTTGTCCTTATGATAATGACAAAAGAACCTTAGAAAATAGATCTCTTGCTGAAAAAGTTTTTCGTCAGAAATTTCAGATGTAACACCTATCCGACCCCACTGGATCGATGTAGTCCACAAGACTGGCTGTTACTCCTGTTCTGGTCCAGTATCAAAGGTTCAATCAAAGTCTCCGGTTCACAATTCGATTTCACTTTCCATCCACGTTGTGATTTTTTTTATACTGGAGAGCAATTAACAAATCGTAGACCCCGGAAGATTCAGCTGGTCTACCTGCAAGTTCGTTGGGGCGAGAATCGGGCCAAGCAGAAAAATCAAATATGAACAAGTCAATTTGAGTCCAAAGAAAAAATTATGTATATAAGGAAGAAATTGGTACAAAAAGAATAATGCTTCTTTTACAAGAAAGTAGTGTATATGAAATAAAGTCCAGAAAAAAGAAACAAATATTGCAAATAATTCTGAAAGGAGAGAAGTATTTTTGGGTTCACCCTTTTTGTTCTTAGTAGTTGCCATAATTATTTCACTATCAGTATATAAGGGGGTTCACTGGCAGTATTGCGCCAATATTGTAGATAACTTGAGTTCACTTCCTCCCTTATTACCACAGCAAGCATACGCTTTCACTCTCACTGCCTCTCTCTCTCTCTCCTTGGTCGACTGCTTGTCAACTAACTTCACCCAGCTCCAATTCCAACTTCAACTTCGACTGTTTTCGCGCAAACACGCGCAAAAATAAACGCGGTTTTAGCGACAAAAACCCGATGTGTTGGTAAACTTAGAATACAACCTGATTACTGACCTCTCCCCCTTCATGATTAAATGAACAGTCTCTTCTTCTCAACTGGTATTCCATAGTTCATATAAACACTACTGCTTTGGTATTTTATATTAATAATTCTGACAAAGCACAGATTCTCTGGGCACAAACGTCATCACAGATTATTTTTTTCATTTATAAACAAAATTTTATGTTACTATAATGTCAAGGATGACCATTGCTTTCTGCCACACAGAGAACTATGAGAACCCATATGACATCTTACTTTTCTCTGTTTGTATAACGATGAATTGACTAGTAATTTTGAATGAAAACTTAATTAAAAATATATTATTTCAAATGATGATTACATATTCCACATAGTCTGCAGGTAGGGTGAAGTATAACATCGGGCTGATTTACTGTGCGGGGTGTACTTTTCTGACCACTGGTCTCGTCCTGAGAAACTAACGATAGTACATTAGTTGCTTCATAATCCTTACTTTGTGCTCAAGCTTAGATATATAAATCCACATGCATTATTATATAGCGAGTATTATAAGTCTGCCAGTGTCAATCCAAATTTTTGTGCATCTGCTATCTCAGAAACAAATTGGAAAAAAAACGTTATTTGAAACTGAGGCCTTCCTTCTTCAAACAATCTCAATCTGCACGGAAATTCTCTCACGCACTGTAAAGCGATACAGTCCTACGAACGAATAGAAGAGAAGAGACGCCAGGTTGCCATAGCATGCTTTCACTTTCCACTTGACTGTGTTATCCGAAGGAGCCATAGCCATGATGGACGGGATGGCATTCGGGACATCTGACGCATGCGTACTCACACACAAAACCTGTATCCATGGGAAGATGGCGTCATTAATATGAACTCATTGAATTTCGCCAACGGATCTGGAGAAAAGAGGCTTCATCAGAACGATAATTTTAATATTGAATATTTCATGCGTATAAAGCTCTTTCTTATCTAATGTCTCAGGAGACGTAGCTTTTAATAACTTGCAATTTTTCTTTATTTATAAAACTGTGCATATGTAGTATTAAACCGAGTGCGTCCTTATTCACAAGATGCTAAATTTTTATGCGTAAGATGCACAGCTGAAAGTGTCAGGTATTAAACAATCATCAGGGATAAATTGTGTATATATATATATATATATATATATATATCAATAATCATCCATGTAAACAATCACAGATTTAATCACTGTCTTGTCCGTATATTGCTTAATATATTGTACAGTAATTGACATCTTTGATAATGGCTTATGTAAGCCGAAAGCTTAGATTGGATTAAAAATATGGATCAATATTGTGATTTTCTTTCTTCGTTTAATGATAATGTTATTAAGCTTATCAGACGATATGAAAAGAATTTACATAAAATAAATAGACAACACTTGTCTATATTATTTAATGAAAAGATGTATGAATATATCAATAAGTCTACAATCTAATGAAAAAAAATCTATTGTACACGACAAAGTTTTTTCAACATAATCTTCCTTGTCAATGCACTTAACATCGGAATATTGACTTATTCTTTTATGTACCACGTTCCTTCAGGACATAGGCGATCACGGTTCTCCACAACTTTCTATCTGGTGTGGCTCTTAGCAGTTTTTTCTCCCTTTGTAAACGCCCCCGGACCCTGTTCCGCCATCTTTTCACAGAAGCTCGTCAGTTAAGTGACTCGCTGCCTTCCCGTATCTCTCTTACCCCACCCCCGTATGCCCCGTGGGGGTTAAGTTTTCCAAGCCCTTCTTCCTCATAAAGCATCCAAAGAATTTCAACTTTTTTTCTTAGTTTTGAGTATTAAGTGTTATTTCTGCTGCCGTTTTTTTTTTTGCTCGCTCTGTTCATGGAATTCTCAGTATCCTTCTGTAGAACCACATTTCTGCTGCATCTAGTTCTTTTCCTCGTCTGTGGGGAATTGTCCAAGATTTACTGTCATATAAGAGGATGAAGTAATTTTGCAATGATAATATTTTTTTTTTTTTTTACATTCGTTACATTCACTTTCGTACAAATATCCTTGGGAAATGTATGAACCCATCTCTTCTCCTCCAGCTATGGGTTGAATGATAGGGCAAACCGGGTCCTGTAGCCTACTGCAGAAACATCAAACTACTGCGGGAAAATTGACTAGGCAGAAGATTTTTTCCCAGAGTAGGTTACCGACATGAATCGAAAGAGACATGGTCGCCTAAGCGTGTATCCCGTATGACTCTTAACTGTCTGACTGAAAGTAAAGAAAAACGAACTAAATAAAACTAACGGGAAACAACAAAAAACGTGCTATGTTTGAACAGACTAATCCTCCCTACTTTTTTTATTTATTACTAGCAGTAGAGCCTGGTGTTGCCCGGGGAAGTAACAGTAAGAGATAGATCAAGTATCAACCATCATAAAGACTGAAAAATAAAATTGACAAAGATTATTGTTTAAGGTTGACGGACATGCATGTCTTAATTAGTTTTTTTTTTTTTTTTTTACGAATTGGTCAAACCCAAACTCAAACAAAAACATTGTTTTCAATCGTTATGAGTCTATCGATTGAATAGAATTTTATTATAAACAATTGTCTTGTAAATGGAATTTTTAAAGCATTCTGAATATAAAAATAAAGAAAAAAGTGTGCAAGACAATAAGAAACACAACCTGCCAAAAAAAAGGGAAGTTTTGTTGAAATCGTTGAAAAATGTAGGAAATCTATAATAAATAAATATAAACGAACACACACACACACACACACAAACAAACAGAAAAAAAAACACAAACAAAAAAACTAATTAAGACATGCGTGCCCGTCAACCTTAAACAATAATCTTTGTCAATTTTATTTTTCAGTCTTTATGATGGTGGATACTTGATCTATCTCTTACTGTTACATCCCCGGGCAACGCCGGGCTCTCCTGCTAGTAAGTACTAAATCTTTGATACGGCTTTTTCAATTGCATTTGCTATTGTTTTTAAATAGCCTCGTCAGATTAAGACTTTCATGCAGATATAATGCAGGATCCAAATCCGTCCCGTTTAGAAATATCTAAGCTCTGTGTTGTATACAACCATTTACATGAGTCAATGGTTAAAAGCGGCTTCGAACGAATGGAGCGCGTAACTAAAATGGCTCGCACAATTTAAGAAGAGAAAAGAATAATATATTGACGTTCCCTACTACTTCGAACAAAAGGTTAGGAAGGAAACCGCATCAGTACTGGAAAAAAAAAAAAACGATAACACTTAGTTAACTTGAGAAACCTATTTTCCTGAAAAATTATTTTAATAGAGTTTATAGATTTTAACCGAAAGTAGCACTGGCAATACCGAATGTGTCCTTATAAGGAAACGGCAAATATTATCTTGAGTTCTGTCCTCATTGCATATCCCATTTCAACAAGAATATCCCAAGCTCTAGAAATAGTCCGTCCTGGGTATAACGATAAACTTCATCCGCGTCCTGGGTAAGACGATAAACTATGTCCAGCAGCAAGGCCTCTAATTAGGAGGGTTTGAGGATCGTGGAAACACCTCTTAATTGCTGGTATTCCCAGGTCCACTCTGACCCGGGGTAGTAGCACCTGCTATGTTCCCACATATGGGGAAATAGTTAACCCACAAACTGGGGTCAAAACACCATGAAAGTTTAAAAATAGGTTTTAATACGAGAAATACTTTGTAAAAAAATTATTACCAGCAATAAATTTTTGAAGAAAAATATTACCAAAAATAGATTTATTGAAGGAAAAAAAATTACCAGTAAGATATTTTTGAAGAAAAAATATTACCAGAAATATATTCATTGAAGGAAAAAATATTACCAGCAATATATTTTTGAAAAAAAAAATATATATATATATATATATATATATATATATTACCAGCAATATATTTTTGGAAAAAAAATTACCAGTAAGATATTTTTGAAGAAAAAATATTACCAAAAATAGATTTATTGAAGGAAAAATATTACCAGCAATACATTTTTGAAAAAAAATTATTACCACCAATACATTTTTGAAAAAAAAGAAAGAATAATATTACGAGCTATAGATCTTTTTTTTAAAAAAAAATATTACCAAAAATAGATCTATTGAAGGAAAATCTATAACCAGCAATACAATTTTGAAGAAAAAATATTACCAGAAATATATTCACTGAAGGAAAAAATATTACCAGCAATAAATTTATGAAAAAAAAATATTACTTGCAATAAAAATTTTGTCGATATTAAATAACCCATTGAGGTTGATATACCGTAAAACAAACCAAACCAATCTAGAAATAGCTTCCAGAAAATGGGATCGTACTGTGGCGTAAGTTAATCTCAACATGTGTGGCTTTATAACAAACTAAGCTAAGCTTGGTAAAAATCGACATATGATAGCAAATAACCCACTCTAAAACTTTTTTTTTCTTTCCGGTCTTTTTTTTTAACGGTAAGTAGGGTTTCTGCTGAGAATCCTTAAGTAATCTATCTCCAGTTCATAAGAATGTTTCACGGCCTAAATAGAACCAGTTATGCAATGGTATTGCCGCTGTCCTTTGCCATTGAAACGTTAGAATTGTCTATAGTTTATCTTTGGAGTATAAGATGAATTTGACAAAGCTGTAGTCTTAGTTCAAGGATATGGCGCTTATCTTTGGTAAAAACGTGCGCGTGAAAACATTAATTTTTCCCGTTGACAGAATTTGCGCCAACTGGGAAATCAGAATTGTACTTAATTGTAATTTATTTCTATTAAGCGATTTAATATCATCAAACGTCGTAATTTAACAAATTATAAATTTCTTAACGTATTTCTCCCATCTTATTCCTGTAGCTTTTTATCGCAATTTTCAGACCGCCATTCTACAGCCGTTCGTAAGCAGAGTGGATCGTAAATAAAGATTCCGTTTAATGAAAAAAGAAATGGAATAAAAATAAATACAAAATATAAAATGGGAATAAAGTAATTGCGATTTCTCTCTCTCTCTCTCTCTCTCTCTCTCTCTCTCTACCTCCTCTCTCTTTCCTCGTTATCCACTTACTCGCTCACCGCTCATCTCCATTCTCTCTCTCTACCCAATTCTCTCCTATCTCTTCCTTTCCTCCTTCTCTCTACCTTCTTTCTCCTTTTATCCACTCCCTCTTTGCTTTGTCTCCCTTCTCTCCCCCACACTTCCTTTATACTTTACTCTTTTTCTTTTCTCTCCCTCCTTCCATTTCTAACTCTCATCTACCATTCACTTTCCTCTATCCTATCTCCCCTCTACTCTCTCGCTTTCCTATACCCTTTTCGCCCTCTCTTTCCTTGCTTCCATTTCTACCACTATTTACTCCTCTCTATCCCCCTCTCTCTCTCCTATCTTTCTCTCTAACCTATATGCACGTATGTAAAAGTTATCATTTATAAATAGCATTTATTACACAAACTTGGTACATGTGAAAAAATTCAAAGATTCAAGTTTCTTTTTAAAATTCAGTTTTTATGGCCACATCACGTCTGCACGCTTCGAGTAGCGGCAAGTATGCTTCATATTACCCTAACAAAAAAAATTTTAAATTTTATCTTTATTCTTTTTTTTTTTTTAAATATTGCTTTACCATAAGTAAGAAAACGTTTTGCTTGCTATGCCTTTTGTTACCATAAGAACAAATGTTTTCATTCCTAAGTGCAACTATGTTGCTAGTTTTTAACATACGGTCAAGTCTATTGTTACGTACAGAGAAACAAAGTAACAGAAAAATGTCACACTGTTCATTATATAGATAATAACTATTTTGTGCTTGCCTTAATTC